TCCCACATATCAAATCAATCTTTTTTAAATATAAAAATAAAATTAAAAATGATTTATTTTTAAGATAATTTTATTATTCTAACTCACTTTAGTTTTGGTGAGTTAGTTATAAGTGACTTGTAAAAAAAATCAAGAAGTGTATGTTTGTTGATTTTTTATTTTATTAAAATAGCTTAAGTCATTTGATTAAATATATCTTGAGTTTTATATATTTTTAATCTACTTTCTAATTATTAGGTAATGAAAAGCATGAGGAAAACCAAAAGACTTATGATGCAGGAAAAGAATCTGAGAAGAAGGATCATTATTTGGCAAGACAGAAAAGCAAGGAAGAAAAGGAAGAACAAGCCAGGGTTGCTGATAAAAGTTCCGGCTTTAAAAAGCAAGAGAAGAGGGAAGAGAAGGGAGAATTTCAGAATGATCAGTATTTGGCAAGAGAAAAAAGTAAGAAAGAAGAAAGAGAAGAATCTGCCATGGTTATTGCTAAAGAAAGCTCAGCCTTAAAAACCCTAGGGAAGAATTCAGAGGAAGAAGTTCGTCAGAAGGATCAGAGAAGAAAAGAATCTATAACAGAGAAGAAGGAAAAGAATAAAGAAATGGATGTTCCAACAAGTAAAGTCAACAATGGAAATACAGTAAATAATGAATCATCAATAGGGAAAGGAATCAGGGATATGGCCAACTCAGCTTCTCAAGCTGCAACAAGATTGAAAAACAAGTTCAGTGAAGAAGATAAACAAAAGCTCTTATGTGCAGGTGCAGCAATTCTGGTGGTGGTGGTAGGCATTTATGCTTCCTTCAAGCTCCGTTCCATGACAAGACAATAGATAAAATTACTTGCTATAAATTTCCTCTTTGATATGGTTCTGTACCAAAGTTTCATTATATTTCAACATATTGTAATTGTAATATAAACATGCCGACTTAAGTTAGAGTTTTATGTATTTTCTAGCACAGAACATGGTATTTATGAAAGTAACCAATAACCAATTATTTTAAAATTTTAAAAAGAAAGAAAGTAAGAATGGGAAAAGAATGCCCGTTAAGTCTCAAAAGATTAAATTAATAATACTTAAGTCATTGATAAAAAGGTTTTAAAGAATGAGATGAAATGTTGATTTAAAAAATTGTAAATTTAAAAGTTTTAATTGTAAATAAAACATTTAAGTTTCCAATGTAATTATCAAATTATAGGTGGTGTTCCTTTAGGTTTATTCCTCTAATCTGATTTATAAGTTACTTTTAACATATTTTATCAAAAAAATTAAAATAACAATTTAATAAGATGACTCATAAATATAACCAAAAAAAAAGATATTCTCTCTCCACCTTATAAATATGGCTAAAGAGAGTAATTGTTATTAATTCAATCTTTTATGATCTTATTAACTTTTTTTGAAAACCATAAAATAATTGTCAATGAGATAGTTAAACGAGTTAATTGTTATTCCTTTCAATTAAAAAAAGGGTTAATTATCATTCCTTGATCTAGTGAAGTAGGTGAAAATGTCTTATAATAAAGACTGGAAGAAGTATTCTAAAAGAGAGAATTAATCTTGAATTTTTTTAAAAAATAAGTTATAAATATGGAATTAAATAATGAGTAAAGTAGTAAATTTAGTTATATACTATTTTTCGAGGAGTATCTAGTAGTATAAACTATCATATGGTACAAAATAAATCATGAATTTTAAAAAATGGAGCACCCAGTAGCCCGACATTAACTTTAGCTAACGAACATTATGTGGAGCCTACAATGACATGTGGTACGACACGAGCACTATACATCAGCATGGTAAAGGTGCAAATTTAATTACAAACTATTTTTTGAGGAGCACTGGGTAGTCTCTACTATAAAAAATGGACCATCCAACACATTTTCCTCTATTGTGACCAAACACCGTTTATTTTTATATTTGTAAGGCCCACAAAGCATTAATCTCTCCAATCTTTTTGCATTGGTTCTCAATATCAACTCAAAAAGAAGAGGTTCAAAAAGTTCTTATTTGAAAACATTTGACGATGCCAATGAAGTAGAAGCTTGATTTTACTATGCATGGGAGAAGCTTGATTCTAACTTAATTTAATCATGAATTATTTCTTTTACTTTGTTAGTGTCGTCTTCGTGAATGTCTTCAGATAAAAACTCTTTAAAACTTTTCTTCTTGAGCTGAGATTGAGAACGAAGGAAAAAGGATTTGAGAAATTAATGCTTTGTAGACCTCATAAATATAAAAATAAACATTTTTAATCAAAATTGAGGGGAAGATATTATATTTTTTTCTCTTTTTTTATAGTAGAGGATACCCAGTGCTCCTTAAAAAATAGTTTGTGGCTAAATTTTCACCTTTACTATGTTGACGTGTCATGCCGCGTGTTATTATGGGCCCCACATAACATCTGTTAGCTAAAGTTAATGGCAAGCTACTGAATGCTCTGTTTTTAAAAGTTTGTGATTTATTTTACATCATCTAATATTTTAGGCCATTAAATGCTCTCGAAAAATAGTATATAACTAAATCTGTGCCTTTATCCTTAAATAATTATAAAATTTTAATTTTAAATAAAATATTTAAATTTTAAAATAATTCTTAATTTACAATTAAAATTCTAATTTGAATCAATATTTCAAATTCATCTTTAAAATTTTTTGTCAAGAACCTGACTCTTATTAATTTCTTCTAAATAATTTTTGCAAATAAAAAGATTAAGGTGGAAACTATTTAATTGGTGACTAAATCGTCTTACATTGAATAATGAGAAAATGATAATAAAATCTTTTTAAATTATATAAATAATAAATTTGTCCCCCGAAGTGCTATAATATCAATAAAGTTTTTAGGGATCTATTTGTCAATAACTTTTTTTTAGAGAAAATACCATTTTATCTTTATTGATAAATTGTGATTTCTTATTTAATTCTTGCGATTCTTTGAAGAAAAGTTGTGATTCTTTAAATAAAAGTTGTGAATGAATTTTATTATTTTAAAAACTTGTTTTTAATAATAGCAATTATATTTGACAAATTGTGATTTTTTTCAATTCTTGCAATACAAAATTTGTAATTGGAGCTTGTTTTTTAATAACAAAAATTATATTATATACACAGAACAAAAGTTGTTATTTTTTAAATAAAAGTTGTAATTTGAGCTTGTTTTTTAATAACAAAAATTATACTTAACAAATTATAATTTTTTATTCAACTCTTGTGATTTACAAAATAAAAATTATAATTCTTTAAACAAAAGTTGTGATTGAGTCTTGTTATTTTTAGTAAGTGTAAAATGATCTTTTTTCTAAAAAAAGTTATTCATAAAGAGGCTTCTAGGGACTTCATTAATGTTATGACATTTCGATAGATTAAATTATCATTTACATAATTCGAAGGGATTTTATTGTCATTTTTTCTTAAATAATTACCCTTTTGAATTTTTTTGGCCCCTTTTTTGGGATGCTAGCTAGTTTTTTTTTAATAGAAGGCCATAGAGACACCGTGCTAGATGACATATTGTGTTATGTTAGCATGCAAAAGATTTCTATACCCAAGTGGTGGAGACGTAGAGTGTCAAAAATGTGAACATTAAGATTGTCGATAGAAGCTTGATGTGTCAAGTTGGCCTTCTTATAAACGTGAACAAAGGTGACCGTCTAGTCTTTCATAACAAGATCTCTAATTTTGTTGATAGTTATAGTTAGAGGGTGATTTATAGAGAACTCGTTGCATATTAATGTAAGAGCTTTTATAGAGTCAGAGTAAACATGAACCTTGTCAATCTTTTTGGCCCAACAAATGCTTAGTTCTTCCAAGATGCCCAAAAGTTCAACTCCCATACATGGGTGATACCAAAGATACTTGGAGAAGCTTTTGATCTAATTGCCATGTTTATCTCGTATGAATCCACTGTAGGAAGTAGCACCTTAATTATTGATTAAGCCATTTATATTAAGTTTAACCCATCCATCTTTAAAGCATAACTATTTAGCTTTTGATCTATTGCCCTATTTAGTCAGAAAGTTAATTTTTTATTGAATATATTGATCATTGAGGATATCTTGAATGTTGATAAATGCGATGTCTTTATCAGGATTATCTTCAGTGGAATAAATGTTTTTGCATCTATCTTTTCAGATGTTCCAACACATGTGGGCGAACAGTTTCTGCCAAGGGATCTTTCTTGAACAAACATTGCTTGCATCATAATCTACATTCCAAAGTATTTGTTCCTAAAGAGGGAGAGAAAAGAAAGGGTTAACTTTAGATTGTTTAACTAATTTTATCTAAACCTTTCTAGAATTCTTGCAGTCTCTTAGGATATGAGTAGTTGAGTCTAAGGAGTTACAGCCAAAAGGGCATGGCCTAGGACAAGTATTGCCACTATTAGAGTAGGTGAATTTAAGTTGAAGACAATCCTAAGTCGCTTTTCAAAAAAAGGTCTTAATCTTCTCATATATTGGTCATTTCCAAATCTTAGAGTTGGAAATGTTGTAATGATTATTAATAGCCTTATAAGTAGATTTGATGGTGAAACTACCATCATTAGAAGGCCTCCAACAAATAATGTCATTATCAGCATTAGCATTAGGAGGTTGGACAATAATGATGTGATTAATCATGTAAGATATCTGCGTAATTGATTAACCTTCTAACTATTTGAAGTAGAATAAAAATTAGAGACTTTTGTATGAAAAAGAATCTGTTTTAGGAGATGCATATTTAACAAGGAATTTAAGAAGGAGACATCATTTATCATACTAAAAAGATATTTGATGTTCCTTCCTACCTTTTAGTCCACGTGATATATGAATTGATCCCAAATTTTGCATATACTTATCCACGGGTAAGAGCAAGAGTTGATATTCGAATTCGTGTTTTGCAGGTTACTGGCACTCTGAAGTAAACCACAAAAAGGCACGAAGTAACGGACACAGTTCCAAAAAAAAAAAAAAAAACATCAACACTACTTTTACAGTAAAGCTAATGCACAGTTCAAAACATAACCCGCCGTCCGAAAATCCTTTGGTCTCTCTTCAGTCTCGCCCTAGCTGCACTCGCTTTTCTCACCGTCCATGCCGTATCTGCCTAGCTCATTATCGGCTTCCGCCTTCTCTGTACGCAGGTACTTCCATTCATCTGAGCTCCTTCCACCTTCAATCACTGTAGTTGTTCTCTCTCTCTCTCTCTCTCTCTCTCTCTCTCTCACGCGCGCCCGGGCGCCCGCGCGCGCACATTCGTTTTCTATGTTTACGTCAATTCTGTTCAAAATTCCTTGTTCTACGTTTCCCTGTTTACACTTTTGCTTATGCCTCTCAGTTTTGATGCTATGGCTTTACAGTGTGATCTGTAACATCGCCGTCTTTTGCCAATGATTTGGCTTCTGTTTTAAGTTTCTACTTCCTTTCTTTGTTTTTTTTTTTTATGCAAGGCTTTGTAAGAAGCGGCTTCACCTAGGGGAAAAAAAAAAGTGGGACTGATTCTTTGATTTTGTGATTTTGTTTCGTTGGCGGCAGTTTTAAGTTTAAGTGCTTTTTCGTTACTATCTATACGGCTCTTGTTTTATATGTGATTTCTTTCTCAGATCAAATTTCCCCGGATCATTCCCTAATAGCTGTAAGTTAGCATTAACGACACTTGCCCACTTGAATTCAACCACTTTCGCGGACGACAGCCAACTCAGTTCTTGTGACGAAGCTGTATCATCCTCGTCTGATTGCTATAGGGATTCTCCTTCAGTACACAATTCCTTTGAGATAGATACGTTCAAGGTGGTTGAAACATTGAACTGTTTGCTAAGAGAGCCCGCCCTTGCATTGTCCTTCTTTCGTCAAGTGAAGGAACAAGGTTTCCAACATAATATCTCAACCTATGCGGCACTGATTAGAATTTTATGTTATTGGGGCTTGAGTAGGAAATTGGATTCTTTGTTTGTGGATCTCATTGCTCTTTCTAAAGAGTGTCCAGCTTTTGAAATTGAGGATTTGTTGGAAGAAGTGTTGGATGGTTTTGGGGTTGAAGGGAATCGGCACTTGCTCAGAGCTTTTAATGCATTAGTGAAAACATATGTCAGTGTTAACTTGTTTGATGAAGCTATCGATTTTTTCTTTAAAACTAGAAGACGTGGGATTATTCCACACATATTTACTTGCAACTTCCTCATAAATCGCTTGGTTAATCATGATAAGGTGGATATGGCCTTTGCCATATACAAGCAACTCAAAAGGCTAGGTTTAAGCCCAAATGAATATACATATACGATTGTAATCAAGGCACTATGTAAGAGAGGTAAATTGGAAGAAGCCGTTGATGTGATGCAAGAAATGGAGGAAGCTGGGATGCCTGTCGGTTCCTTTTGTTTTTCAACTTATATAGAAGGCTTATGCACCCATCATAGACCTGATTTGGGATATCAAGTGCTTCAAACATGGAGAAAGGCCTATGGCCCAATTGATATGTTTGCTTACACTTCTGTTGTTCGTGGATTTTGTAATGAAATGAAATTAGATGAAGCTGAGAGTGTTTTCCTTGACATGGAAAATCAAGGGTTGGTTCCTGATGTATTTTTTTATAGTGAATTGATTCGGGGATACTGCAAAAGTGGGAATCTGCAGAAAGCTTTAGCCCTGCATGATGACATGATTTCAAAGGGCATAAAAACAAATTGTGTGATTGTTAGCTGCCTCCTCCATGGCTTGTGTAAGGTGGGAAGGAATTTGGATGTGGTGGATCAATTTGAAGAATTTAAAAAATCTGGAATGTTTCTTGATGCAGTGGCCTACAATGTTGTGTTAGATGCCTTGTGTGAACTGGGAAAAGTAGATGATGCAAGAGAACTTTTAGAGTATATGAAACTTAGGAATATGGTTTTAGATATTAAACACTACACGACCGTTATTAGAGGGTACTGTCTACAGGGTAAATTGAGTCCTGCCTTTAACATGTTTGAAGAAATGAAGGAAAGGGGTTTAATGCCTGACATTGTAACTTATAATGTACTAGTTTCTGGATTGTCTAGAAATGGCCATGTTTATGAATCAATGCAACTTTTAGATTATATGGAGACTCAAGGAGTCGAGCCAAATTCTGTTACACACAAGATGATCGTTGAAGGCTTGTGTTCAGGAGGCAAGGTTGAAGAAGCTGAGGCTTTTTTGAACAGTCTAGAAGATAAAAGTGTTGAAATCTATTCTGCCATGATAGATGGATATTGTGAAGCAAACTTTCTCAAAGAAGCTTATGAACTCTATCTTAGGCTGTCAAACGAAGGAAATGTTGTAGAAAAAGATTCCTGTTTTAAGCTACTATGTAAACTATGTGACGAAGGTGACACTGATCGAGCTATAGGATTACTGAAGACACTGTTGTTATTGAATGTGGAACCTAGCAAAATAATGTATTGCAAAGTTATAGCTGCCTTGTGCCAGGCTGGGAATATGAAAGTGGCCAATTCTTTGTTTGATATTTTTGTTGAGAGAGGATTTGCACCTGATGTTAAAACCTACACACTAATGATAAATAGTTATTGTAAGATAAATTGCTTACAAGAAGCCCATAATCTCTTCCGGGATATGCAGCATAGAGGGATCAAACCTGATGTCATCACCTATACAGTTTTACTTGATGGGCACTTGAAATCAAATTTAAGAAAGAAATCCTCCCTGGGTTGTAATAATAGCAAGACAGAGATGTTGGACGTTTCTACCATTTTGAGGGAGATGCAGAAGATGGAGACAAAACCAGATGTTGTTACTTACACTGTTTTGATTGATGGACACTTGAAGGCAAATAACCTTCAGGAAGCCATTATGTTCTTGTATGAAATGATTGTCGATGGGCTAGAGCCAGATACCGTGACATATATGGCTCTTGTTTCTGGCTTCTGTAATAGAGGGGACATGGATAAGCGTGTTATGCTTCTTAGTGAGATATTTTCTAATGGAGTTGCACTAGACCCACATATTATCTCAGCTTTGAAACGTGGCATTCTAAAAGCTAAAAAATTGAAATTCCATAAGTAAGTCCTTTTAGACTCACTATGTGGACAAAAGGTTGGATGGCAACTTGTGGCTTTTCTATCAGCAACAAATTGAGGAGGGAGAGCTTGCTGGAGTTTCTATCAAGTGCTTTGGAATGCCATCCTGTTTGAAAAGGCACTTTGGTTGGAGTGACTTTTTGAAGAGGAGGAGCTAGAGTTTTGCAAGTCTTTAACTCTTCGGCAGGAACACCTGGAGTCGCTGGTATGTACTCTTACACATTATAAAGAACAGTGAAATATGAGTTTTGACTATTGGATGCTGGAAGTATATGTGTAATATTAAAGGTTAAATAGAATAGACAATAAATTATACCTTGTCATCTTATCCCTTAAATTAATTGCATTATTCTGGTGTACTTTTGATTTGAATATATTGCCCTTAAGCTTTTTGCACATTATGCATTTGATAAACCCAAAATGTTGTGGGTGGATGGTTCAGTGCATGCCTGAGTTGTTACAATGCGTTTTAAGTAACTTTTGAAAATGCTATAATCAATTCCAGAAGAGGTTAATGAATATGTTTGCTTCGTTGCTTGAAACACTTATCCCATATGACAAAGCATTGCTGTATGGATAAAACTTAAAGTTTTGCAATCATTTATTCCAATAAAAACCCAACATGTGGAGGAACTTTAGTGGAAGATACAGTTATTGAGAAATTGATAGCAAATGCGTAGAGGTTGTGCTCTATGTTTTGTCCTTGTATGTGCTCTATAGATAGATATACAGGTATGGTGTGTTTGCTTCTAGGAGATATATGTACATATACACATGAAGTGATCCAATTTTCTTTTCTTTTTCTATTCTTTAAGGAAATATGAGAGTAAACATACACAAGTCTGGAAATAACTCTATTTTGGTTGGATCAAGCTTGCATGTTATATTTTTTGCATTTTTTAAAAAGTAGTTTTTTTTTTTAAAAAAGACATCTATAACTGTTTGGTGCTACCTGATTCATGAGATTGGAATTGTGCAAGACCCTGAAATTGGTGATGATCTCATGCATTTTCAATCAATGTTTAGTACCATTGAATTCAAAATTTTGGTTTGAAAATAATTTAGGATCATCCTCTTTCCTTGATTGATTTGTTACTTTATTGCTGCTGGATGGCTTCTATTGAAGCCTTTCAAATGCTTGCTCATAAGGTCCCTGGTAAAGGATCTTGCAAAATGAAACAAGAAAAGATCTGAAGCAATTTCAAGAAGAATTGAAGATGGAGAACATAAAAGAGCTCCAATATCCTGTCCTGTTTGTGGACAAAATGATGGAGTCTGAAACTCATTGAGAGACACCCTGTCTTGTCATGGCCGTGTTGATCCATGGTATACTTCAGACCTTCGGGGCTAATAGTTTCTTAGCTCTTGCTATGGGCATACAAATTAAAATTTGCTCGAGTAGGAAAGCAAAGTATACTTTCATTTCATGATATATCAAATCAAAGTTTATTTTTGGGGGAAGAATTGACTAATGAGAACTGATTTTGAAAGGTTCTGTGTTGTAAAATTCAGCCTTTTGTCTGGAAATATGACTTGTGCCAGATAATATTATTTTTGTTTCAGATTTGGTTGGATGAAACCACTTTGGAAAGGACCGGAAGCAAGGTCTTGCCAAAATCACTTTGGAAATCATTTTTGAGTGTAAAACGGTAATTTTGGTATGCCCTGAATGTCAGAAGGCTTTTGGAGTTGGAAGTTTTATGCATCTTGGTGATTATATTTTATTTTTTTGCGAACACTCATAGAAGGATGTGGTTATGCAAATAATGGGTTGTATATGATTAAGCAGCCATTGAAAATAACTTCAAACATTAGAATTATTTTGAATCATTTGTATCATGGCTTGAGTAGCTTCCCCTCTTATTCTGACCCTTTTTTCACTTCTGATAATATGTTGATGCATTGTCTCTTTTTTCTTCCAGTGACTGAGGTCCTCACTGTTGAGAAGGATCTTCCTGGGGCTCGACACTCTTTCAGAGATGTCCTGTGAATCCTTATCATAGATGCTGAGGGCTATGCACTTAAGTCATATCTATTGGGAGAGAGGTTGTTTTACTCTTGGTTGGCCGTTGGTTTTTGATTAGGGAGAATTATGTTTAGAGTTGTCATTTTGCCTAAGACAACAGGGGTTATTTCCATATGGATGTGAGCCGCTGGGACTCAAGCTGCGGTATTCTATAGAATATATGGCACAGAAACAGAAAAGAAGAACTTTTCGGAAGTAAAACGATGTTATTCTCAAATTTTGATGTGCGTTACAGTGGAAGAAGGTGGACCTATTTATACTGTCAAGACTCTGAACGGAAGCAGAAGAGTGAATGGGGGTTACAGAGGTTACAAGAGTTACAGCAGACTTTTATTGGAAATGGAAACATTATTCTTGCAACGGACGTAGGTAACGGAGGCGTTGGCGGTGCTCTATTGTGGCCGCTAAAACGGTAGCTGCTGAATGGTGCTCCTATTCTGTTTCAATATACGACCAATGAATCTGATTCTCAATTGTTAATAGACCTTATAGCATTTAATATTTTAATTATATTATGGGAGACTTGGGTGTAATTCTCCCTTTTGATTATCTTAATTTAACAAGTACTTGCACCCATTGTTTCTTTAAGCATAAGGATAAGTTTTGGATTCAGGAATACATGGGAGTAGTTATCGTACTGTGGAGTTCTTGGGTGTTACGAATTTTGTTTGTATGATTGTGTCGCGCCCGAATCATGATTTCCTCGAAAAGGAAAGTTAATAAATGTAGGAGTCGTCATCAAAATTTTAAAGGATAATTTTAAAAACTTTTAAAAAAATAAAATGGTCTATAATAACTAGAGTGGGGTTCGGGAGTCGGTTGTGTATGGGGAAGATATTAGGTATCCTACGATACTTGTTTATAAGAACGGTTATTTTAGGTTGATTGTATAAAATTAATTGGCCTTTTAATAATATCTTAGTTATCCTTTATTTCACGGGAAAAATAAAGAAAATAAATTATTTATTTATATGGAAGGATTTGATCTAGGATCAAAGCCTAGGATCTACGTATCTTGTAATGGGAATCAAAGTCCACGCAGTTTGAAATATTATCATTTAGGTTTTCTTTTAATTTTTTATTAATTTATTTTGTGAAGAGAATATTATTGTGTTATATAATTATATTTATAAAAAAATATCGTGAGGAAGTACCTTTGGATAAAAGGAAAATAATCAGTATTGAAACTTGCGGTGATTTAGTATCACTCGCAGTTTGTTAGTTGATACTCTAAGGGCACATGGTGATTTAGTATCTCTCATGACAAACCATGCAGGAAATTTCTAAGTAAAAAAAACTTCTATGAAATGGTTTAATTATTAAATTTTGGAATGAAATTTGATAACTATGATGACTTAGTATCATTTACTGTATTTTCTTTTGATATTTTAAGGATCCAAAGTGATTTAGTATCACTCATGGCATGACTTAAAATATGCTAAGAGTTTTATTATTTTCATTATTTTTAACAATGCACAAGGAAAGGAAAAAGTAACCAGTATTGATCCTGCAGTGATTTAATATCACTCACAGTTCGTCGGTTGACGCTCTAAGTGCACACGGTGATTTAATATCACTCATGACAAACCCTAAAGGAATTTTCAAAATGAACAAAATAATTTAATTTTAAAAAATACAAAGTTTGATACCAATGATGACTTAATGTCACTCACGATATCTTATTTGATATTTCTCTTGATCCACGGTGATTTAGTATCACTGGTGGATCCAAAAAAAAAATGCCAATAAATTTTAATATTTTTCAAATTTTTGAAACTTGATTATCAAAAAGACTATGTAATAAACTATAATAACATTATTCTCACAACTTTTATCAAAAAAAAAAACTAATAATAATAATAATAATAATAATAATAATAATAATAATAAAAATGAAGAATCAACGTCATGTTGGTTTATAGTACTTTCTTATATATAAATTGATGATTCTAGGAGTCTAGGTACCATACCATTTTAGGACAAGCTCACGGTGAAAGATCTACGGTGATTTGAATTAATAACCAAACAAAACAAAAGAAAAACAATAAACTATGAAGAGTCAATTTGAAGCAAAGCCAAGAACGTGTATAAGAAACTAAGCTTTAGAATACTAGATGCTAACATTAGGTAAAAAGCAAATATGTGAAGTTTAGGAATAAGGAGTCCACAAATCAACGGCTGTACGTGCATAGGGGAAAAGTTTCAATAGGGTTTAAATATTGACTCGAGAAGGTTTAGTTTTTCCCATTAAACAAGCAAAGCTAGAGAAATGAAAAAGAAACATTCACCTTCAACACTTTGCCTAATGCTTTCTACCATCTCCTCCCAGCTTTCCTTTCTTTTTTTCTCTCCTCAAATCTCTTATCTGTTCCCTCCTCCTTTTCTCCTTCACAGCTATCTCCTTTTATAGGTGCTAATTAGGGTTCTCTTATTTAATGATATGATCAAACCAAAAAAGGCAATTTTTTATTTTGAATCTTTTTTATTATTTTAGATTTCAGATTTTTTTAATTAATTAAAAACAAATCCTAGTCAAGGCATAATTTTCTCAAATCAGATTTCAAATATTCTAAATTTCCTTTTTAAAAAAAGTCAACTTTAATGGGAACATAATTAAGAAAATTTGGGGTAAAAAATATTATTATTATTATCACAAAAGCTCCTCCTTTTTTATTCCTTTTATTTTTTTATTTTATTTATTATGTTTTTATTAATTTTTAATTTACACTTAAAAGTCTGAATAAAATATAGTATTTACAAATTGTATGTTGCTTTCCTTACATTTTATAAAGTGGCCGCTTGTATAATTCGGAAGTTACAATTTGTTCTTGTTTTGCTGTTGGCTGCCTGCCTTACATTTCAAAGTTGGAACATTCCATTATTCTATAAAAAAAAAAAAAGGTTGGAATATTCCATGTAAAGATACCTATTTTTTAATGGGGCATTTCATTGAGCAAACATGAATTGATTATTATATTGCTTGGTTTTACCGTAGTTTTTTTTATATATAATTATCTGACTATGTCAGATTTAAGTATTATTAGGTTCAATTGAAAATAGCTTTAATAAAGTTTATAATTGTGTCAAATTCGAGTATTGCAGAGTTCAATTGAAAGTAACCTTAATAAAACTTATTGACATTTTATTGTGGTTGATGAAATAGATGACTAATGTTGCATGGACAAGTTTTTGGGGAGAAATTTGTGTTCCTGATACAATCATGACAGTGGATATTGATTACCTTCTTTCATCAAAGTAAAATTAAATTTGGTAATCACTTTTGACATTTTTGTATAAATTAAATATATTACATGATTGTGTAAATTTCATCAGCGATATGTTCCTTAATCTTATTTAGTTGCAACTTGCAAATTTCTTTGTTGGGGTAATTTGCTAGCAACAACTCAAAAAGAGACCCAAAATAAGATGTGTCTTTACTTCTTGCCTGGTGGATAAGCTCCCCCTGATATTTTCATTGAGGGCTCCATTGATTAGTTTCATTTTCTTCTTATTACTCTATTGAAAAAAAAAATCATACGTGTATTTGATAGAACTAAAAGGTTTATATTCATTTTGCATGAAGATTAAAGGAAAAATACAGTTGTTGGTCTCTATATTCTTAGCATATTTTGATATTAGTTCCCATACCTTTTTTTGGTTACTCCAATTCTTATAAATTTTATTTCTTTGCAATGTTAATTTTTATTGTCATTGATGAAGTTAATTTTGTTAATGTGTACATAATTCTATTAAATTTATTATCGACTTGGTAAAATTACCGATAAGTTAGATATTATATAATAAAATTAATGATTAATCTTTTTGTCTGTTTTAGTTGTCATGTCTTCTTCTTCTTCTTTTTGAAGCTTCATACATTGTATGTTAAAAGATTCAAATTTGATGTCTTGGTTCTGAAGTAATTGGGCTTGTGCATATATTAATCACCATTAAGTTTTTATGGTTATATTTAAAAATATAGATATTAATATTATAGGTAGACTAAACTTAAGGGATTTGGAATAATGAACAAAAGTGTAAAGACAAACACCAAAGTATGTCAAAAATAAATGGATAATAGTTGTATTTTCCCAAAATTAAATTATTAGAGACTGGAGATTTGGAGGCAATCAAGAGAGCATGACAAAGCAAATGACAAGTTTAAGGAGTTTGATGATTCTTTGGATCTAATTGATTGAAAGGTAATGTTTGATTTCAGATTATACAGTTCAAATTTTTGCAAATGTTGTATAAAGTTGACGTGAATATAATGTATAAAAAAAATGAAGTTACTCTCATGGATTGAACATAAAAGCTTTGATTATTATTTTTTTGGGGAAAAATAAATTCACGGAGAAAAACTGTATTTTATTAACATACTAACATGATTTGTAAGTAATGCTTTCATTTAATTTAACCATTAAATAATAAGAAATTAAGCTAAAATTGATCTACATATCTTTTCTTTAATAAATACTATAGCATAAAGATCTAGGTTAGAATGCACTTTTAGTCCTATAATTTTACAATTTAGTCTCTTAATTTTATAAAATATCTTTTTAGTTTTCTAACTATAATACAATTAATTTTAAATTTTGTGTCAAATCATTATTGTTTTTTAAAAAAATTAAACTTCATATATTACTATTTGATAATATATTGTCAATATTTAAAAATTAAATGTAGGAATTTTTTGTAAAACAAACTAAATGTATCAATATTAAAAGACTAAAAAAGACATTTTATAAAATTATTAACTTAATTTAAATTTTATGTAAAGTTAAAAAGTTGAAAAAATGACAGAAAAATTTATTTAAATTATGTAAATAATAAATTGATCTCATGAAATAGTATAATTTTCTTGGAATTCCATACAGTTTTTTTGTTACGAGGGAATTAAAGGAAATGACCAAATTGCAATTAAATAAAACAAAAATTTTTAGAGTTGCGAATAACTATTGAATTATTACGAATTTAAAAACAAAAGTTATTATATAGGAATAAAAGTTGTGAATGAAAAGTTACAAATTTTTAACACTTGATGTATATTAAGACCTACATATGCAGAATTGCGAATGACTATTAAATAATTGCGAATTTAGAAATAAAAGTTGTAAATAAAAAGTTTTGAATTTTTAACATCTGATGTATATTAAGACCTGCAGATGTGAAATTGTGAATGACTATTGAATTGTTGCGAATTTAAAAATAAAAGTTGTTAACATATGAACAAAAATTGTAAATAAAATGTTGCAAATTTTTAACACCTGATATACCAAAACCTACAAATAGCTGTTAAATTGTTGCGACTTGTGAATTTTTTTAATATGAATAAAGGATAAAATTGTCCTTTCTTATAATTTTTTAATGACAGAAATATCTCTTGGAACTTCAAAAAAATTATACCATTTCGTGGGATCAATATGTCATTCATATAATTTAAATGAAATTTTTTATCATTTTTCTTAAAAAGTTAAATATATTTATTTTAATCTAAAAATTAACATTACAGGTTTCCGCTTTTGGCCATTTGCATTACTCATGAGTCATGC